CAAAAACTTATCGAACTTATCGAATTCGGCTGATCAATTTTTATCAGTTGTCCCAGAATTTATGAAAACAGCTGTAAGTGATGCAATAAAAACAAAAAAAAGTATATTTTATTTATTGCGGCAATTAATTTAGATTATGACATACGTTTTGGATTTCGACATTTGTTTTCGGATTGCGGCATAAATTATGACTTGCGGCTTTATTTTTGCCGAAAAATCGATGCCTAAATACTTTCAGCACAGCCGAAACTAATTTCTACGGCATGTATAGGTGCTACGCGATACCCATGTGATTAGTGATCTGGTATGTGTTGATTGAATATTAGTGATCTATCCAAATAGGGGAAGTGCCCTTAAAACGCCGCTGTTTATAGCTAGCTTCCTGTTAAAATAGATCCGATTATTATAATATTTTTTATGCACAGTACAAAATTCGGATTTTAAATTTTAACCTTATCTAAACTTAAAGTTGTAGAGCGCCTACTTACACTTATACTGTTTAAAAACTTCATATACTTTATAAAAAAAAAATTCTCCGGTCAGTCGAATCAATTTTTTATCCCATGTTATGCAATTTATTTTATTTATATCGAGTGAGAGTTTTATTAAATTTGATTGAAGATCAGTGTGTAACATACAAATGCGAAGTAAAAAAATAAAGACGAAAAAAAACCAGAAATCGCAAAAAACTCATAAATTCGCAAGGGAAATTGGTCATGTTTTTATGTAAAAGTTTTCAGCACAAAAATTTAGATATATTCTTTCTACTTTGCATTAATGCAAACATTAATTTTTAGACGAAAATTAGTATATCATTGTTATTGAATTAGTCACGGGACCGCGCCATCACTATTTCACTCATTTATATCGCCTTATATTTTTTTACAAATTTTTATTATAAAAAAAAAATACTACTTAATATGGGTGACGGGACATGAAAACCTGTAAATCATTTCGCTAATTATCATTGTAGTGATATCTACCCCTATAAGAATTAGGGATACATATCACTACGATGATGAGTGAAACAATTTACAGGTTTTCATATCCCGTCACTCATATATAATCCCCCTCAATCATCAAAAATGAGAAAATTAATTTACCAGAAACTTAACGCATAATTACAAAAGTTTTACCCTAATGTCCTGACAAATATTAAAAATGCACGTACTGTACATACACGGGATGGTATAAAGGTTAAAAAGCCCGAATTAAAAAATTAATGATCACTGATTTCAGACGATTCGTCGGGTTTTGGAGGTTTCATAGGTTTCGCCAGATCACAAAGGTTTGGTTTTGAATGCTGCCAAATTAAAACTGGGGATGTGGATATTTAAATTTTCATTGTGTCGAACTTGTCCTCCGAAAAAAATTACCATTACAATTATTTTGATCACATGTACAGTACAATAACTATAATATATTTTAGATTCACTTATAACGATAACGTTTATTTAACTTGCTTTATTTAATACCAAGTCAATACATCTTATATAATCTAAAGAACAAAGCTAATACATCATACCTAATAGTATATTTTACGAACTAAACTAACTTATAGTTTACAAATTTGAAACACTTCAAATTCATCAACATTAAACCATCCACATCCAAATTTTCTAATTGAAAGTTCGTAATCTACTTGTTTACATTGCCATCGTGAGGTATTTCTATTATTTCCAATTCTAAGATCATCACGACCAAATCCTGGTCCATTTATTGCTGAACTATAATGATTAATTGCGTTATAACTATTTCTTACACGACTAAGAATAGATTTTTCTCCATTATTATTTTGTAAAGAGAAAATAAAGCTATCATTCGTCTCTACAAATTCATGAGGTTTATAATCATTAACTTTCCAAACAAGAGGATTATAACCACCAAGTAACTCTTTCGTGCCTCCGACTTTTGCAACGACCAAGGTATTAGGTATGTTGTCACATAGTTTATGAAATGCATCAGGTGAGAACCCATCCTTACTACTTTTAAATAACAATTTAAATCCATATGGAATATCTTCAATATCATAAACTTTTGAACGTCGATCAATCCATGAAGAAATCTCTGCTAAGTGCTTTAACGTGATAATAGAAAGATATTGTGATGATGATGAATGAATAGCGGATGTTTCCATTTTCATCCTTTTAGGAGGAGGTGGTGGTACTCTCGTCGGTAGTTTCGGTAGTTGCGGAGGTGGAGCTGGTAACGTCGGAGTTTTACATTTTTGCATTAAAATTTCCCAAAAATCTATTTTAGGTTCTTCAGGAGGATCTTCTTCATAAAATCTTTTCTTATGATAAGTTGGTGGTGGTGGTGGTGTGAACTTTATCGTTATAAGTGGAAGGAGATTCTGAAGTGTGCTTTTAAGAGACATGTAATCCCAACTCGTCCATTGTCTAATACTAGATGGTAGATTTGGAGTTCTCGCTTTTCCCCACAAAAGAATATTATCTAAAACTGTAGATTCTTCAGGTTTTACATCTTCACGTTTTAAAAGTGTAGCTAAAATATATTCTTGAAGAGTAACGAAATCTTGTGACAAAAAAATCAAATTTGGATAATCTACTAAAATATCATCACAAAATTTTTGTAAATCTTTCAAATAAATGTTATCCAAGATCATTTGATAAGCTTGAACAAAACTTGATTGAATCCATGATGCACTATTACGAATAAGGGATTCTTGAACATATTTAACCAACTCGAAGAGCTCTAATTCAACCCCAGTTTTTAATACTTCAAATTTTTCTAAACCTTTCAACGCTTCTAAAGCAATAGTACCGCCATAGATATATCTATATAGGAAATGTCAGTAAATCATATATATATAATAAAATACACAAATTAATATTGAAATATAATGAAATATAAATATAAATATAACGTACCTAATAATTTGATTAAAGATCTTGATTGGAACATGCGGTAATTTAATTTCAATAATATTATTTTCTTTAGTTGCAAATTCTAATTTTCGACGAAAATACACTGAACGTTGATATAAAATCGCCGAATGTACTTTAAAACGTTGAATATTTGGTGGTTTTCCAACTTCAATTATTGCATTAAAATCATATTCACTTTCAAGAAGTTGAATATAATCTTCTGAAAGTATCTTAAGAAAAGTACGGGGCATGTTGTTTTGGAAATCGACAGGAATACAGAACGCGTATTTGGGTAATTCAGTAATTGGGGAAATTATACCAGATACAGTACCTATCGTTTAGATCTGATGATATATCATAAATATCCATAAATATCGTAATACAAATCCAAAAATGGTGATCTACCTTCCCGCTCAGAATAGATTTAGATATCATTGCATCATTGTTAACAGTTAGTATTAGTAATATTCCCTATTTTTTTGATTGGCCAGATCACATCCGGGTACGGTCGGGACACTGTTACGACTAAAATGTGCATAATTCGCACGAGATAGTTCTAAACCATGACATTTCTGAGATCACGACAAATTGCACTTCAATGACAAACTCTTGGAGGCTTGGATGGCGCATGAGTCTAGCCGAAGATTGTCGCAAAAGATGAGAACAAAAAGACTCTTATAACCACGGATAGTTAAGCCTCTATTAGTCTTTAAAAAATATTTAAAGGACATAATTTGGGAGAATTTATGTGCAAGATAAATGCTAACCCATGATAATTCCCTTTAATTATATTTCAGAAGCCTAAGACATGAAGATAACAGTCTCACCCATATCAATATCTATTTTTTAATACTTGAATTTTTAAAAATTAAAAATATAAAACTGCCCAATTAACATAATATTTTTGTTTAACCAAATCATTAAAATTTATTTTACGTATTGCTGTTTGCAAAATGATGAATCTTTGATCAAACTGTAAATAATTGTGATTTGCAAAATTCTGGAACTTATTCATCATTCGAGTGATGATTCATGATCGATTGTGGTTGCAGTTAAGTCTGATTAATTATTTTAGAAATTGGTCAATACTCATTTTCAAAAAATCGTTTGATGCCCTTACATGTGCAGTAATAGAAGCATTTTTCTGCACCACAATAGATTGTGATTATGGCGCAGAAAAATGTTTCTATTTCAAAAGCGTTCAAATGCAATGAAAAAAGTTGATGTGTGCGAACAAAAAAAAAATTTTTGAAAGCATGCACTATGTACATTAATTTTAAAATAAATATGCGGCATACGCACATTATAATTAATATTTTATTATTGCTCTTTGCAAATAGATGAGCCTTTGCAGATCACAATGTCGTGTGGGAATTGATTCCATCGATTTTAAGAATTTTATCGATTTCAAAGAAATATAAACGTAACCGTTCGAAAATAAAACAACGAACAATCTAAAATCTCAGAGATTTTCTCCGAACATCATGTGCATAGATATCATTTATGTTTGTAACAATCCAATAATCGCCTATTACAAAGAACTTCAAAATTTGCACTTTTTCGTGAATTATTCTAATTGTCCAGAATAAAAATTCTCAAGATTTCCCGTTTCATTCAACTTTTTTAGTATACTAGAATTATCGCTCTTTTCGATTTAGTTGGATCGATGAATTTTGCAGATTTTTTTTTTTGTTCTCGTATATGCATATGCCTGCATATAATAATTATTTGTACGTAGTTGTTTATTGTCATAACATAATAGACAGCTAACAATTAGTTATATGCAAGATATATGCAAATATGAAACTCACGGATTCACGGATTCATGGAACTCACGGACGAAAAAAAATCTGCAAAATTCATCGATCCAACTAAATCGAAAAGAGCGATAACTGTTAGTTTTGCAATTAAGATTAAAATTTCTAGTTTTTCCTTTTATTAACAGGAATTCTGCCATTATTCAATCTAATTCTCTACAGTACTGTATATTTCTGGAGAATCGAAATATAATAAGAAATTTTAGATGCTTTGCAAACAGATGCGACTCTCTGCAGATCATGAAAAGTTGATTTTTTTGTGATTTCACGATCGAATGTGTGCCGCTATAATTAGATTTATTAATGAAAAGTGCATAGGCAATCATTGTGTAATTATAATAATTTGAAAATGCTATAATTTTAGGGAACTGATATTTTCCACACCCTCATGTACGTAGATCACATTTTTTTTAACTTTGATCGAAGGTATCTCAGCAACATCTTCGATGAACTTTTTTATTTGAATTCTACAGATCCGTAGAATTCGGAATAAAAAAAAAATTCATCGAATTTAGTTGGATAGTGGTCGAGATAGGTTTTAAACGTCTATCAAAATATTAGCTGTGGCAAAATTTTTCTTGATTTGATCAAGATATCGACAACCATCCAATCAAAATTCGATGAACCTTTTTTTATGAATTTTTATTAAATTCTATGGATCTGTAGAAATCTAATAAAATAAAAAAAAAAGATTCATCGAATTTGGTTGGATAGTTGTCGAGATGCCTTCGATCAAAGTCAAGAAAAATTTTAGGGTTAATTATTTTAATAGACATTTAAAAGCTTTTTTAAAACTTTGATCGAAGGTATCTCAACCAAATTCAATGATTATTTATTTATTTAAATTCTACGGATCCGTTGAATTCAAAGTTCATTGAGGGTGGTTGTCGAGATACCTTCGATCAAAATTTTAAAAAAAGTGATTTACATGGGAGCGTGGAAAAATTAGTTTCTTAATTTTACTATATTCTTCCTAATTTTATTATATACAAATTTTAAAATTATTTAACCAATATAAAACTCATATTTAAAAAATTCATATAGTGTAAAATCCCGAAAATAAGCACCACACCCTCTACCATACTTTTTAGACCTCAGATTAGCGGAAATAGCAATAAAGTCTTTACTCAAGTTATTCCCGTTAATCTGAGATTTTAAATGGCAGAGGTGCTTATTTTCGGGATTTTACGGTACACATTGTTTTTAAAATTTAGTGCACTTTGCGTACTAAATTTAAATTTGATGATCAAAAATGGTGGTCATTGAGAATTAATCCTGATCAATCTCTAAAATAATTGATCCAGCTCAATTTTTTGATGTAATAAAAGCACTTACCTTCTCACAATCACTATTGATTGTGGAATAACAATCATCACTTGAACGCAGAGTTGGAAATGGAGCCCAATGGAACTGCAAATGGAGCCAATGGAGCTCTGAATGGAGTCATTGAATACTAGTTTTTTTTAGTTGCATTCAAGTAATAATAGAACTTCATTGGCTCTATTGCCAACCATACTTGAAGATTAATTCCAGAATTTTGTAAATCACGATAATTATTTTATTTTTTATATTACATATCGGCGAATTTGCAGAATTAACCTAAATTAGGGTCCATATATTTTAACAATGCTATTGTAAAGCCGACCCAAAGTTTCAGCTAATATGCATTCTGCAATTGTTAAATCCGGGGCCCTAATTTAGATCTATTCCGCAAATTTGCGGACATGGTTTTACTTGTATAAAAAAAAAGCATTGATTTTTACACTTTATCAGTTATTCAAATAGTAAAAGAATCCAATTCGGTAAAATTATTACTGCGGGTTGATGCAAAATTAGCGACACGAAATGTGAATTCGATTTGATAATGTAAAGCCCTACTTATATTCTTATTATAAACACTAGCCTCAAACTTAAGGCTAAATCAAAATATTTATATATAATTATGCGTATAATATATATTATTAAATATATAGAACTTTTGTATATTAAACATTTAGGCAATTTGGAGCTAAATTATCGCTGCATCAAAATTTTGCAGATCGCCGATTGCGTTTGTAGTGACTTTCTTAATAAAAATTCACTGCAAATAAAATATTTTTATATGACTTTTTATACTGTATTCATATTAGAGGTGGGATCCTTTGAATATACGTTATGGCTAGAGTTGCCTGCCGTAATTGTTTTTAACAAGTTGTAATATTACAACCTATATGTCGTAATATTGCAACATATATGTCGTAAAGGTTGTAATTAATTACGGCAGGCAACCCTAGTTATGGCTATTCACTAAATATTCGTGGTTTTTGGACATCCACGAATGAATATCCGGATTTTACAAAATGATCAAATATTAGATTATTCAAGACGACTATTCACGAACTTTGTGTAATTAATAAATTTATTGAATATTCACGAATTTATGTAAATGTACATCGTTTTTAAATCGAATGTTCGTTTTTAATCGTGGATATTCACGGATCCCATCTCTAATTCATGATCTCAAAAAATAATACCTACCATATTTTGCGGAATAAAGTACCTTCGTGATGCAAAACTTTTTGTACATAAAAAAATTAAATATCACAATCAGTACACTTCACATTCGTATACGGCAAGTACACAAGGAGGATTTTTGGCCAGGAAGGGTACTTTATTCCGCAAAACACGGTATA